TGACTCTACACCTTCTTCTCCAGCTCAGTGTGCCTCGACCGCATGTCCCCCACCCATTAATCAGCATCCCATGCAAACTCGTTCTAAGTCTGGAATTTTTAAGCCTAAACCGATTTTTAATTTAAAAACAGATATTGCGGCATGTGATCCTTCTTGTTTTTCTCAGGCTAATAAAGATTTTAAATGGAGAGCGGCCATGGCCGAGGAATTTAATGCACTTATTGGCAATAACACTTGGGAATTAGTCCCACCTAGTACTAGTCAGAATGTGGTTGGGTCGAAATGGATTTATAAAACTAAATTTAATTCTGATGGTTCTATTGAGCGGTATAAGGCGCGTCTGGTGGCTCAAGGTTTTAATCAGCAGGCAGGTGTCGATTTTTCAGAAACTTTTAGTCCCGTAGTTAAACCCACTACGGTTCGTCTTGTCCTCACCTTAGCTGTATCGTTTGGCTGGCAAATTCGTCAACTGGACGTTAAAAATGCTTTTCTACATGGTCATCTGACGGAGGAGGTTTATATGCGTCAACCACCTGGATTTGTTCATCCTCAGTTTCCTCATTATGTATGCCGTCTTCGTAAGGCTATTTATGGCCTTAAACAGGCACCTCGTGCATGGTTCTACCGTTTTAGTAGTTTCTTATTGATGCATGGTTTTATTTGTAGTCGTTCAGATAATTCCTTGTTTATTTATAACCATGGCAGGAATATTATTTATCTTCTTCTTTATGTGGACGATATTATTATCACAGGTAATTCCCCATCTTTCATTAATTCCTTTATTTCTCGTCTTGATAAATCCTTTGCTATGAAAGATTTGGGTGATTTACATTTTTTTCTTGGGGTTCAGGCTCTTCACACCCCACGTGGTCTCTTTCTTTCACAACATAAATATGTGTCTGATCTGTTACTCCGTTTTCATCTCCATACTCTCAAACCAGTTCGCACCCCTCTCCCCACTCGTACCAAGCTATCTCTAACTGATGGGGATCTGTTAGCAGATCCGACTGAGTATAGGAGTATGGTAGGAGCACTACAGTATTTAACCATGACTCGACCTGATATTACTTATGATGTCCACCTGGTTTCCCAGTTTATGCATGCTCCTCGTACTACACATTTTTTGGCTGTTAAGCGAATTTTCAGGTATTTACAAGGGACATCTAATTTTGGATTACTGCTTCAGCCGAGTTCCACATCACCTACTATACTCGCTTATTCGGATGCCGATTGGGGAGGATGTCCGGACAGCAGCAGGTCTACGTCTGGATTTGCTATCTTTTTTGGTCCCAATTTGGTGTCCTGGAAGTCCAAGAAACAGCCTACAGTTTCCAGATCATCTACAGAGGCAGAATATAGAGCCATTGCCTATGCTGTTCAAGATACTCTTCACATACGTTCTATCTTGTTTGAGTTGGGTGTCTCGATTACTCATCCTGTTAAACTATTATGTGATAATGTGTCTGCTTCTTATCTATCTGCAAATCCTATTCAACATGCTCGAAGCAAACACATCAACATTGACTATCACTTTGTTCGTGAGCGGGTTGCTCATGGTGATTTACAGGTCAAGTTTATTCCTACTCAGCTTCAGTTGGCAGACATTTTCACAAAGTGTCTCTCTCCGCAACGTTTTACTTTTCTACGTGACAATCTGCGCATTGTTTCCCCTGCACAGCTTGAGGGGGTGTAATAATGTATTTATTTATATTAATTACGTTGCCTAATTATAGTAGGAATCTTAATGTATCTTGGACTCTTTATTATAAATAATACTTCCGGGGCTACCATTAAGGTATGCTTCCTCATTATTCTCACAAATATGTCTACATACAAGCGAGTCTTTGTTCATTCCCCTTGAATTGTTTTTTCACCCTTTTCTTTCTTTTTTCAGAGCCACGAGTTTAGTGACCATGTGGATTTCAGAATTCCAACTTCTTCATCTATATTGCTTTTTAATGTATTCTATGCTATAATTGCATTTAAATATGTACTTAAACTTATTTTTTGTTGGAATTAATGTGTTTTGACATTTTAAATTTGCATAGCCTTGATTCCCTTGATTCTTGAATAGGGTTGAACATTATTATAAGTTATCATATTTTGTGTTTAAAAATTGAGCATTCAGTAGTTAGTTATACAATATACATGAGTTATTATTGATAATTATTGCAAGTTTTCGTTAATAATTTTTGAATTTATGTGAAATTTTACTTTGACATGCCATTAATTTTCGGTATACTGATGCTTTGCTTAAATTTCGATTTATCGAATATTTGGAAGGGCCTCAATGTGCCAAACCAATGTCGGCCGCCTCTAGATCAGTGCAGCCACCATGAGACCAATGTCGGCCGCCACCGGACAACCCCTGGCCACAGTGTCAGTGGCCACCGTCGGACCATCGATCAAGCTGCCATGGTAGTCTGGTAGATCACCATAGGGCTGCCACTGGACTGTTGTCGTCGATTCCCATCGGGCACCGGACACCAACATTACACCCGCGATTTCCATCGGGCTGCCGGTCGCCAACAGATTGCCACCGGACACCGGCATAACGCTGCCACCAGGCCACCACCAGCCGCCACCATAATGCTGCCTCCGATTGCTGTCGGGCCACCTCCTGACGCCATCACGATCACCAGAAATTTTTCGACTCTCGCAGCCACTGGTCTGCTACCAGACTTCTGCCAAATTGATATGTACTTATGTAGAGCAATGTTCTCCTAGAAAATGATATATTTTTCATACCAAAAGTAATTATTTACTTCTAGGAATGACAGAAGCCAAGATGAATTAACACAAAGATCAAAACAGTTTCTCGGAATACAAAATTGAAAATAGTTTTTGTTTTCTAGAGAAAAAAAGACTCAAAACGATACCAGGCAGGGCCTTGATTAATTTAATTTTTACTCCATCGAGTATAAAATTTATTCACACCGCATTGGCCACAGTAGCTGCAACTGCAGTGACCATAATCGCAACTGTGACCACAATTTAAAACCTTAATATGGACTAAATTGTAAAAGTATACTCTTATAAGTTAATAATCATTTCGCAAATACTACATATATATATATATATATATATATATATATATATAATTGGTCTCAATGAGTTAATAAAAGTTGAACTTCAAGTCATTTACCGGTGGGCGTAGCTCAACTGGTAGCAAGGGAGTGCCATAAGGGTTAGGTCCCAGGTTCGACTCTCAACAACTGCAATGAGAGGTTACTCAACATAGGGCCTCTGCAAGTACCGCGTACGAGACCCTATTCTCTTTCTGCCAGATTGTGATTATAGTCCAATTTACATCCTCCCATCGTGGCGTCCGGTCGGTGTTGGGGGCCCTCAAGGATGAGTTGTCATCCTTTTTTTAGTTAATAAAAATTCACTATATTCAACTTTGGATCCTATAAATGATTCACAATATTCTTTTATCAAAATTTTTTTTTATTAATCCACATCAAATTGACGTACTACCACCCTAGGCTTTACATTAGTGGCATTCATGGGAGTGTTTATAATTGCTTTTGCTAAAAAATCACCTTTGAAAGTGATTTCGGGAAGAGTACTTAAATAGTTAATAGTAAAAGTTGTTAATGTTTGAGGAACAATTGATTTTGAAAAGTAAAAGTTGACAGTGTTTACTAAAATATATATTTTTGTGTAATAGAAAAAGTAAAAATTAGATTCTAACTTTTAATTTTTAAGCGTTTGATTTAAACAAAAGTTATCACTTCAAAATACTTTATTCATATTTTTTAAGCAAAAAGCTGAAACTCATTTTTTTTTTTGCAAACATACTTATATTTGTGACAATCTACAAAAATAAAAATTGTGGCTATTTGAACAATCACAAATACAGTGCTAGAAATAGAAGTAACTGATACATATATGGCCATTCAAAAAAAATGAGTTAATTATCAAAATAGGACTAAAAGTCATTTACTTTGCACAAATAGGACCAAAAAATAAACTATGTTTCCATAGGACTAATTATGTGTGTCTTGGACAAATATACCCTTATACCTATTGGAATGTTTTAATTCATAATAAAATAATAAAAAATAATAAAAATTCGTAAAATATACCAAAAAATTAATACAAATATTTTGAATAATAATAAATTTAAAAAAAAAATTAAAAAAATTAAAAAAAATTAAAAAAAAATCAAAAAAAATTTTTGTCACCGCCGCCTCTGCCGCCCCAGCACCACTACCTCTAGTCATTTGGGGAAAAATGCCAAATTTATTATGAATTCCATATTTTTGGCATAATTCAGAATGATTTAAGATGGAAGAAAAAAATGTTGGCATTGTCAAAGAGAAATATGCCATATTTTTGGCATTTTCCGAAAAAATGACATTTTTTTTAACGGTCGGAGGTGGTGGTGCAGGGAGGCGGTACCACCACCTCCTGTCACCAGGGTAAAAAAATGCCAAAAAAAATATGAATGTCATATTTTTGGCAAAAGTCAAAAGGATTCAAGTTGGCAAAATGAAAATGTTGGCATTCTCATAGAGAAATATGCCATTTTTGTGGAATTTAAAAAAAAAGTGGCATTTTTTACACCGATCGGAGGTGGTGGTTTAGGGAGGTAGTACAGGCGGTGGGAAAGATATCTATATTTTTTTTAATTTTTTATGAAGTTTTACTATTTTTTATTAATTTTCAAAAAAATTAAAAATTATTTTTTTCTTATTTTTTATTTTATAAAAATTTTATTAATTTTTTATTATTTTTCTACGAATTATTGAAATTTTTTCGAATTTATTATGAATTAAACATTTAATTATGACTTTTAGCTATCTTTTACTAATATTTAAAGGAGGAGTAAGAATGGAAGGAAGAAATAGATATGTTTCCAATAGGACCACTATGGTCCTATTTTAGAATAAAAAACACAGCAAGTCCTATTTTGAGTTTTTGCAGTTTTAGTCCTATTTATAAAAAAAAATCCATGAATATTCAATACGGTGAGATAAACTGAAGTATGCCCTAAGGTTTCCGGATAGGTGTTTTACCTACTCAGCCCTACATTACTCACTTCTTCCCAAACGCCTCTTCCATTTCAATGGGTTTCGCCACTGCCTTGCCCCTCCATCTGTATTGGTTATGGCTCGGTTTCAAGTTTATGGTTAAGCTAGAGCGCAACCGGCCGAATGCTTTGCACCACGATTTCTCTGTATAATAACAATTTAAAAGGTATTCTTTTTAAAATATTTATTCATTTTTTGTTGTCTATATCTAGCTCCTTTGTAATAATGTAAGTATTTGGGCGTTTTGGATAGATTTCTTTTTTATTGGACTCTTTCATTTCAAATTAATTTAATACTTTGGATTTGTTGAAGTTCATTTATACTTTCAGAAGGGCGTCGTCCACAGTCCACTACTAGAAAAGGAAGGATTATAACAATACTATCTAATATCTATTACTCCGTATGATACGAAGTTTTTTAGAGAAACTTGTAGAAGAGATTATGGACTGATCGATTTAAGTAGGAAATTGTGTATAACAATATATTACTTACGTTTGATAGGATCATGTTTTTTTATATTTATTACTTCAATTTCATAAACTTTGATCAAAAGCTAAATAGCTAATCAACATTTCGATTCAAAAAGTAAAAGCCCTGTATCCTTTTTTTGAACAAAGAAGGTTTATATTAAAATATTGGAAACTCGCAGAGTAGCATGAGGACAACCCTCTCATTTCGCTAGATTAGACATAGAATTGTATGTGTTACAAACACAACATTTCGCTAACCACTCAGCGCGCAACTTGAAGCCTATTGCGACAAAAAAAAAGTTTGCCCCATAGAACATCCACAGATCGGATGTCCCAGCTAAAAGTCCAAATGAAAAACCACCTAGAGTTCTGATTAACAAGTCCAAAACCAACAAAACCGAAAACTAAATTACTAATCTGAAAATAAAGCTGAAAACTAAAAAAATAAACTGGAGAGCTTGAGCATTCTCTCGTTGTCCAGAACTCGCTTCCACACCGTTTTTTGCACCATTTTTTTAAACCTCCATCATCGTGTATGCCTCTCCTAACAGGTCCAATCTACGTTACTTCTGCTCAGCTACTTGCACTTCTTACTCACGATTCACTGGATGCGGAGCGTCGCCTGCAAAAACATCAGTACCCGAGCCCATGGCCATAATCTCCCTTCCCTAAGTAGACCCCTCATCACCTCTGTTGATATCACCCCCCTGTTTAATAGGATCATTCACCACCAGTCACTTATTTCCTCCACCTTTATTACTAAAGTCACTACCTGCCCTCAAACCCGGTCCAAATTCCTTCAACTGAGGACAAAACTTGTCACCGTGACTGATAAGTCCACAAGCAAAGCAAAAGTTGGGGAGTTTTTCGTATTTCAAGTTTACCCATAGGTAATCCCCATTTTATTTTTGGCTTGTAACTCTTTCCGAAGTGGTTGCCTTACATCAATACAAACCCTGATCCTCAGGTAAGCCCTCCATTTCCCCTCAAACCGGTGATCATCAAGCTTAACAAAACTTCCAAGTTTATTACCCACAATTTTAGCAATCGTTAAAGTCAAATACCTAACTGGTAAGTTGTGCGCTTGAATCCAGAACTCCGAAAAATATAAAGGAACTTGTAAAGGCAGATCATCAGGCTTTAATTCATGCAGCATGATAGAGACTCAGCTAAGCCTAACAAAAAACACAAATACTTTAGAAGAGTCTATTCTAGCAGAAATAAATAGAAGAGTTAGTTGTTAGTTGTAGTGAAAAAGTCTATAAATAGAATAGTTTGGGAAGGTGAGGACAGGCTGTTTTAGACTTTCGTCTTGGGATTGGAAGATTGAGACTAATCTCTCTCTTTGGTGGCTTCGGCCATTGTTCTATTTCACCAATTAATAAAGCTTGAAGTAGTTTTTTGTTATTCTTTCCATATTCTCTGTAATTTACTATATGTTCTGGAGTTGATCTATCAGTGGTATTAGAGCACGTTCATCACATGCACAAATGGATTTAAGATTGAACGAGCTGGAGAGAAAACAGAAGAAAACGACGGAGACTTTGGCAAAAATTCAGGCGACAATCACTAACCTGGACAAGAAAGTCCAGAATCTATGGAAGAGCAGGTCGCACTCTTTGCATAGGTCGCACCGTACTTCACACCATGGACACGCAAGAAATTCCAATCATGGAGAGCATGGCAACAGCGCACTTCGAGTGAGGAGCCCTAGACATCGTTCGTCGCAGTCGCTCTCAAGTTTGCAGTCGGAGTCGGAGTCGGAGTCGCGAACTGCTTCTCTTGGCGCGCAATCGCGAACTTCTTATCCCTGTTCACAGTCGCGAACAGTTTCTCTCCGTTCGCAGACTTACTCCTCGGATATCAATATGCGTCCAAGAAAGAAGCAATGGAGTGGAGAGTCAGATCAGTCATCATATTCTTCGCCAATCGATTCGCACAGTTCGTCATCTTTGTCTAAAGCCGTTTCTCTGAATTCCTTTAGTCCAAAGGCGGATGAGTTACCTGTATTCAATGAGGGTGAAGTGTACGAATGGATAGAGAGGATGGAAAGATACTTCCCAGTCCAAGCTATTGCACAAAAATTTAAGGTTGAAGTCGCAGCAAGGAACGGGCATTTGACTGGTTTCAATGGTTGGAATTTCAAACGAGAGAAAATAGTTGGAAGGCTTTAAAGGAAGCGGCGATTAGGCATTTCCCACCTAGACGCCGACAGAAGACAGAAAACCAAGAATCATCGAGGTCGCAAAGATCTTCTCACAGTTCGCAATCTTCTAAGAGAACTACTGTTTCCCCTTACAGTTTGGCATCGCAAGTAGCTTCTTCTAGTTCGCGGACGATATCCGAGTCTTCTGGTCCGCAGGATTCGGCCCAAGTATATTCTCACCAGGCGCAAATCTCAGCTACACAAAAATAAAATACATAGACTCTTAACCTGCGCTAGCTATAGACCTCGTGGAATCAGTTAGCGGATCGCCATTGACAACTTTGAAGAAGGCGGAGTCAAAGACATATGCACCTTTAATTCCTGAGCCGGATCCAGAATATGACATTACTCAAACCATGAAATTTCCAACAGATAATCCTGAAGATTCAGAAACCAATGATGGTCATGGTCAGCGGTATGATCTTGTAATGGTAAGAAACCCATAATATTATAAATCCTTGTTGGGTAGAGTTCAAGAACGTGAATTTGTGGTGTTACTCTGGGGTGCCATAACAAATAAATTGGGAAAGAATGATCTACAGATTAGTAAAATTGAAGGATCAGTCTTAAATCACTCAATGGTCAAACCTAGGTCAAATAAAACTGTCTTATATATTTGTTAAATAAAAACAAATTTTTAGGTAGCTTACTCAGCATGATCTAGAACAGACCGACAGGGTACTAACTCTACAATTTCAAGGTAGTAAAATATAAAATAATACATATTTAATTAATAAATTATCACACGCAAAAGAGAACAAACAGTAGAAGAGAAAGAAAAAAAATACTTCCCTGCGAGTCCTGGCCTGCGACGCAAGACAGTAGCGGAAGAAAAGGGAGTTGCGATAAAGCAAACGCAGAAGGAAGAAACAGGACGCGGATGCCGGAACTAGGAAGCAAAGCCAACGCAGAAGGAAAAAGGGAGAAGCCTAGAGAGACTGAATCGCCAAGACAGTTCCATGAGGCGTGAGAAGCGCGCCTCTCAAAAAGGCGTCAAAAAGTGCCATATAAGGCGCGCCTCTTGGAACCTACGCCGCCTGGGGGTGTAAGATGTGATTAATTGATCGCCTTATGGCGCCTCGCGCCTTTGAGAAGGTACTGAGGAAGTGTAAATCGCTGCAAAGCGGGTATAAATTGTGGGACACGGTATGGCGTTCACGTGATGTCAAACTCAACTACCAAACTAATGAACTTGAAGCTGATGCTGGTACTAGGGAACTTATCATAAGGGTACGTTAACCAACTATTAACCTGAGGATAGTAGTTAAGACCTATATAATAGTATTAGTTTTCTACACGCGCTTTGTGCGATCGAATAAAATGCCCAATGATAATTTTTCTTGAAAATATGTACATTATATATTGATTCAATATAATTACTTAAAATTTGACACGTTAACATCTGTATCAACTTAAAAATATATGTAATATTTCTTCATTACGAAAGGGGATCCAAAATTTGTATTTGACACGTTAATCTTACTTTTCTTTCTTAGCCAATTTAGCATGTGACATAAAAAACTGCATATTTCATAAAAAGTTACTGGAGTTTTAGATTAATCTGATTAGTCGAAAATAGAGAATAAGAAATAGGCTCAAAATATTTGCATTACTAATATAAAATGCATTCCCAAGTACCTTTTGGTCTGATGACATCATTGTTGATCTCCCAAAGAGGAGGCCGCAAGTTCGAGTCTCATCCCAATCAAGGATGTTGACATTAACAAGAGCAGATACTATAATAGGTTTAAAAGAATGTTCCCAAAAAAATATAAAATGCATTTATAGTAGTTTTAGTAATAATTGTTTAGTACTCCCTCCGTCCACTTAAGAAAGTCTCACCTTTCCTTTTTGGTCCTCTCACTACGATTGTCACACACCCAATTTGATAATATTTGTATGATTCAAAATCATTACATTCTTACTTTATTTCCACTTTATCAAGTTATTATCAACTACATAAATTCACTTTTATTGGCTACGACACCACTTTCTTTTGTACCAATGTTAGGTTGAGTTTCCTAATTAGGTTACCTATCTTACGCAAAAATATTTCAGGGCCCGTTTGGTAACTCGTTTTTCAGTTTATCAATCTTATCAGTCATCTTTTTACCAAATACATAACTTTTGATTTCCCTCCGTTGATTGTGCAATAATAAAAATAATAGGTAAGATTGCAATTTATTTTCTGAATGAATTGGTTGAAATTACTATAGAGGAAAATTTTAGATATTTTATGTATAATTTTTTCTTTAATATATTTTAAATATCACCTTTCTTTAATATATTTAGCCTATTCAACTCATTTATGTATTACCAAACGGGCTCAAAATTTATTAAAAGAGTAGTGTCGACGGTTCTACTATTTCTATTTCTTGCTTGAGAAAGATAGGAAAAAAGACATCTATACTCATAATACCTTGTTATGTAGTATATTTGTTAAGCAAAAAAAAGTTTGACGACTAAGGAAAAGATTAGAGCAAAGGAAAAAATAGAAACGTGATGGTATTGTGGGATATAATTGATCATCAACGATTTCATATTCTTTTTTTTGATGTGCCACTACAAAAAAGTAAAATACTATTTAGTACTCTGTAAAATAGTGCTTGCTTGAAGATGCATCCATTTGACAGAGTAAAGACTCTGTTAGGCATTCAAAACTCTAATAGATAGGTTCACTAACGAAATGGAGGGTTCATCCGGCATTAAAAATGCTGGACACACTAAAGCATAATAATTTAAGCTCAAAGTACAAGCTTACATTCGCTTATAATTACACCAACACATTTTTAATGCCAAAGGTACCCTTACCTTCATTCACCATTATAATATTTTAGATAGAAATTGACACATAAATAGTCTATTAGTTAAACTGAGGATACTAGTTAAGACTGGATTAACTTGAAGGGAACTTACATACAGTATAAAATTATATTAATATTTTATTCTATTAGTTAAGACCTACATAATAGTAAATTGACGCAGAAATAGTCTATTAGTTAAGACCTATATAATAGTTTATGACAGAAATATTCTGTTTGTTAACCAACCAGCATAAAACACCAACCACAAATTAAATGAGTTATAAGGTAGTCATCCCAGTAAATCTTTGTCATATGACTTGTGCATGTGTTCTAATTTTAGCTATCAATAGCTTTCTTTCTTCTTTCTTCAAGTCTAAAGTATATCGAAATCTGCATGTACATGAGAAATAATATCACAGTCCAAATTCTCTACACCATCTCTTAGTTACCACGGTTTGATTTGTATATTTGTATTTTAATTTATTTTGTAGGAGCACTCATCTACGAACAGGTCGAGGATTGCACCTGAAATGTTGTGGGTTGAGCTACAATTGATCTTTGATCATATTGGTCTTGAAAAGGATGAATTAGACATGTCACCAACTATGTCTCTTGCAGTGAATCCAGCAGCACCTGAAGTCATTTGCATTGATGACGATGATGAGGAAGCTAATGTGAAAGATGAACAATCCTGTGTTGCAAGAACCAATACCAACTGTCACTATCCAGTCGGTCTGCTTATGCTGAGAAGAGCCATATTGGGCTATCGAGAGCACGGTTTGATGATGATCTCGAAAGTTAATGTTCAAGAGTTTCTTGTGTTGCTTCGTCCTACCCATTTGGCCTTGAATAGGCTTAGTAATTGTTGTTGTATTATGTATTTAGAAACTATTGTCATCATGGTTTTTTGGAAGAAGAATCTACAAATTCGCTAGTGGTATGTCTTTGTTATCGCTGATTTTTATGACCGGAGCATAGTGGTATGGATGTTGTAACTATAAACTTGTTGTATGGAGCACTCTTTGTTATTCTACAAATATTTTAGTTGTATCAAATTTTGTTTTTATGACTGAGTTTTCCCTTTTTTGTGTTCATCCTACTTCCAAGATATTCTTTGAAATATGAATGTTTGCTTTTTGCATTTCGTTCATTAGGAAACCAGACATGAGATGCCAGAACATTAACTTATAGTCAAACAAATACTAAATTGTAACACAACATTATCACAAATTGTTTCAGAAGCCAGAACATAAAATTACAAAAGCCATCATCCTTAAATCCAGTTACGAATGTATCCTTAAATTTGACAAAGCACAATGACTATTATATCAAGCCATTGGAACATCAATCTTGCTAAAAGTTATCGATGCACATATGTCATTGACTATCACCTTGATGTGATTTGACTTCATCGCATTCATCATCTTCAGAATCCGAGTCTTCATCACTTTCCTCGTGTTCTGCCTCAACGAAATCATCATCTATAGCATCATTCTTTCGAATAAAATTGTGAATAGAAATCGTCACTGAACCAGAGATATTTGATCCTTCCAACTAATATTGACAGGCATGGTGTCCATGATTTCAAATTTCTTTTTCCAAACACAAATGATCGTTCAATTACTGAACGCAGTGAAGAATGCATATGATTGAACGCTTCATAGTGGTTATTATAAGAACTTGCCCTTTTGAAATCCGGCAAGTGATACTTTTCTCCTTTATATGGAGATAAAAACCCATTGGTATTTGGATATCCTGCATCAACTAGGTAGTATTTACCTACAATTAAACAAATCCATGTATCTTCCATTACAACATCATAGATTATTTAAAAATATGTAGATTACCTGTGGGAGGCATGGGAAAATTCTTTGATGGGTCTTGAATAACAGAGTTGAAAATTCGAGTGTCATGCCAATGAAGTGTGTGGTTTGAAGCATATAGAGGGGGTGATTCATCCTTTAGGCGATTAAACTGATGAAGATGTTCCAAATGAATATTCCCTCCATCCAATTGGACTGTGTCAACTTTCCCTTTTTGGTTGTCCCAAAAAACTTTACCACTTTCCTATTAAAGTACTCCGTAACTAATTTGTAATTCTACACATTTCTCTCTCCTCTGCACAAATCTCAACCACGCAATTTTTACTATTCTTATTTCTCAGTTACTTTGCACTTGGCAAAGTCCACCGGGATGGAGGTAGTATAAAAATTGGTTGGTGGAATCAATCAGTTTCTGAGAGGCGAACAACAGGAAGGCCGAAAAACAAACAAATTCCTGATACTGGTGAGCTTGTGTCACGACAGGGGTGTGGGCGGTGCAAACAACATGGCCACAATCAAAAGACGTGCAACAATTAAGTACCACTTTTCCTAGATAGATTTAAAATAGAGTTATTTGCTTATATGTGTGGTTTGGCAGAAAATGACTTTACTTTAATTATGATTGTACACTTCATAATAGTGGTGGAGTCGGTTCGGGCCACCAGGCCCGTGACCCGGCCCAGCCCGCTACTGTGCGGGCCCGAGACCGGGTGTTGACCCGAACCAGGGGGAGAGCGGGGGGCGAGATCGGTTTCGTAAAAGGGTGGCCCGGCCCGAGCGGGTCGGGCCCGGGTCCCCAATGGCTAGAATTTTAAAAAAAATCTTTTTGAACAAACAGCTCCCAAGTCCCAAACAGCTATATAGCCGTTGGGTCACGTGGGTGCCAGCACATGGGGTCCCGGGGTGGGGGGGTTTAAAAAAATTCTATAAATACACCTATTTTCTAACATTTTCCTACACCTCTTCTCCATCTTCATCTTCTCTTATTCTCCTACTTATACATCTACCAATCTACCATTTTAAAGATGGAAAGTAAATATTCCCTTATGCAAAACAATTTTGATATGTGGAAGGACCCGAAGACCGGGATGTGGTGGACAACTTGCAGGTGGTGCAAGAAAGAGTGTGGCTTGGGGCGTTCACAGGGATACGGGATGCCCAGAAGACATATTAAGTCCTGTGAGTCTGTGACAAAGGCAAAAGCAAGGAGAAAACAACAACCAACGGAGGCGGAAATTCCGATTGATTATTTATTAGAAAATGTATTTCATATTGTAATTTTTTTTCTCATTTCTCTAGTGTAGTTCCTATTTCAAATAAATGCACTTGAACTTTGTTTTTAATAAGCATTTGTATAAACTCTAAAGTATATAAAAAAAGGCTAAAGGGTCAAATAGGCCCCTGTACCTGTTCGGATTGCTCAATTCGCACCCCGAACTCAAAAAAACTCCAATTCACCCCCTGAACTCGCCAAAAAAGTTCAAATCCCATTTTTTGCAGGTGAGTTTCCGGTCATTGCCACGTCAGCCGGTAAGATGCCAACCGTGCATCCCACGTGGAAATCTAAGGGGTCAAATAGACCCCTGAACCCGACAAAGTTGTTCAATTTACCCCCCCAACCATTAAAAAGTGTCCAAATTGACATTAAAAAATAAAAAATAGAAAATATAAATATAATTAATATACAAGTTCATAATATAAAATATATGAGTCTATTTATAATATGACGATAAAATATTTATATTTTAGGGTAAATTTAATATTTTTCAATATTTAGGAGTCTATTTATAATATGACAAAATATTAAAAAAATTTAATATTAATTTATAGAAACTGTATGGTTGATTTTTTAAATGGATTTAAAATATCAAAATATTTTTAATGAATTTGTTTTGTTTTATGTGAATTTACCGCAAAAAATAAGGATATATTTATATTTACAGTAAATTCATATAAATTAATTAAAAAGAAATTCATTAAAACTATTTTCATATTTTAAATATGTTTTAGATTTATATGTAAAGTTACACACACACACACACATGCATATATGTATATATACTTCATATTATTTTATTCTAGAATCATATACTGCGTATTATACTTCATACTAATTATATTTAACATAAAAATTTTGTACTATATAAAAATTATAATATGTAAATAGCTAGGGACTACTACATTTTTATAATATGTATTTAAAAAATAAGTACCTTCATTATGTTTATATATATATATATTTAATTTACCCTAAAATATAAAAATTGTCTTATTATAAATAGACATCTATGTTTTATATTATGAACTTGTATATCATTTTATTTTATTTTTTCTCTTTTTTAATAGAAATTTCATATTTTAATAGCAATTTGGACACTTTTCAACGGTTGAGGGGGCAAATTGAACAACTTTGTCGGGTTCAGGGGTCTATTTGACCCCTTAGATTTTCACGTGGGATGCACAGTTGGCATCTAACCGGCTGACATGGCGATGACCGGAAATTTACCTGCAAAAAATGAGATTTGAACTTTTTTAGCAAGTTCAGGGGGTGAATTGGAGCTTATTTGAGTTCGGGGTGCGAATTGAGCATTCCGAACAGGTACAGGCGCCTATTTGACCCTTTAGCCTATAAAAAAAATTAAACTGACCCGGCCCGGCCCGGCGGGTGGCCCGACCCGTGACCCGGGTGGGTGACCCGGCCCAAACCGGCACCGGCCATAGCACGGGCCGGTCCCGGGCCTCCTTCATAAAACCCGAGGCCCGACCGGGCCTAGGCCCGGCCCCGGCCCGGGCCGGGTCCATGACTACTAGGCCTGGAACCGACCCGGCCCGCCCACTGTAGCAACCGGCCCGGTCCACCAGCGGTTCGGGTCGAACCGGCCCGGTGGATACCGGTTCCGAGCCCTCCATTTGGTGAACCGGCCCGGCCGGTTCGGGCCTGGTCCGGGCCGGAATTATTTTTTTTTTTTTGAAATTTTTTTAAGTTTTGGGTTGGATTAGGTATTTTGGGTCATTTGAGGTGGTTTGGGGTGGTTTGGGGTTGAGGGGGAGGGTTAGGGGTTAAATAAAAGAAGCCAAAAAAAAAATTCAATACCCGGGTGAACCGGACCCGGAACCGCCCACCCCCGGTTCGGGCTCGGGCCTCATATTTCTGAACCGAGGCCCGGCCGGGCCCAGGCCCCGAGGCCCGAACCGGCCCGGTTCAGTCCAGCCCTAATGACTACTTCATAATTACATACCTTGTAAAAAAATTATCATTACATGCTTTCAATTCATAAGTGTTTACAAACTGAAAATGTATAATGTTTAGAATGTAAAGGTTAGTTTGTTTTTGCTCCATTTTGATCTATCAATTACCAAATTTTGATCACCGCACATTGCATCATTCAAATTACCATCCGCGATTGCTACTTTTAGATCACAATTACCAAATTTATAATCAAACAACTCATTATTCATAGGACAGTGTACTGCCACAGTAGAGAACTTTTGAGGGAACTTGCACTACTACAAATAGAACATGTCATGTCGGTTATTTGTAGGGGTGGGCACGGTCCGAGATGGAATGGGAATTGGGTTGTCCCGGTACTGAACCCGGTTTATTATAACGGTTCGAAACGGGACGGGACAAGACGTTGTCCTTTTGTTGTCCTATTTAAATCGGTACCGAGTCAAAACGGGACGGTTCGGGACATCCCAAAAAAGTTTAGTTAAAAAATTGCAATCCCAAAAATAAAGTAAATCTATTTTGGAAAGAAAAAAACCTAGCGTAAAAAACTCTATGACAAAATGACCTAATCTAGAAAATTGTGAGAAAAAAATGCACCTAACCAGATTAGCTGCAAAAAATAAAAGTTGTAGCAAAAAAACTCTTAGGCAAAAAACTATCAAGAAGTTCGTAAAAAACTGATAAAACAATACTATAAGAAGTGAACTAGTGAAGTCATTGGGAGTAAAAATCATTTTCTTTTTTGTAGATAAATGATACTCCGTAGTTCATAGGCAGTTTTTTTTAAGGTGTTATGTTGTTAAACAACTAATATTTTAATCATCATTGGTATTTGGATTGTGAAAAAAGGAAAATTATTATAAAAGAGGATAATTATTATTTGGTGTAAATGTAAAAAGATAATTATTACTCCGTAGTATATTTTAACTATTACTAAAAATGATAACTATTATTATTTGGATTACATAATGAGTTATTGATAGATTCATTAATCAACAAAGTACAATTTTGGATTCGAACAACAGGACGGAACGGGATATA